TAATTTTCCACATGAACTGTTGGCCTCTCTCCTCTTCCTCTCTGCTAGGCTGCAAACTGACAGTGGATACTTATCCAAAAAGCAGACATGCCACAGAGCAAAAAGCATGATTATTATTAGCTAATACTTCATAGTGTGTGCTAGTCAGAAATAAGAGGTAAGCGAGCCTGAGCACAGCGAGAGCAGTACCAGTGCAAAGGCAGCCCTGCCTGAAGCTGCTTATCATCTAAGAGATGCAAAAAAGAAGGGGATAGACAAGCAGGATGTGGAGAGCAAGACAGACAGGAGAAAGCTGAAAGCAGATACAGAAACGTTCTCAGAAGAAGGTTTTGAGCCAGGTAATTTCAAAACATCTGCAGTCCAAAGAAACTCACACCCTTTTCCTCCCCAACTGGACTCTGCCCAAGACATGACCCACAGGCTGCCAAGCAGCAGTTCTGCAGAGGATAAAGCACTCCAAACTGCTTCATCTTCTGAGAGAAAGAAGCTCTGCTCCATTGAGACCTTGGTTAGCATTTTCCACACCTCAGTCTTCAAATTTCTCAAAGACCAGAGTGCTAAGTAATTACAATGAGGTTGTTGGTCCTCGCAGGACAAAGGTCTCCAGGAGAAAATAAACCACTTCTTCATCATGCTTTCTGAAGTGACACTACAAAATCAGAGTCCAGAAGGCAGAGCCACAGGCTGACAGCCCAGGAACAAGCGCATTTGGATTGCTTTGGGTAGATCCATTGATTTCTCAGTACTTCAAGAGTACAGGCAAAGGACTATTATATTACTGCTCTGTGACTGATTATCTTAAGAATCTGATGTTAGTTTTGGAGTTTCTTTCTTTTTTTTTTTTTCCTTTCTTTCAGAAATTCAACTCAGTTCTGCTGCTGCTATCAGCTTTTTAATTCATTTTACACCAAGATATTTGTTATCAGAAATTGTGCTTTGATATGTGTCAGGTTGATGATGGATCCAATAAAAGCCCTGTCAGGAGAAGCTGAGTGAATAGGGTTGCAGAAGTGGTGTCATCAAGGGAATTGATACGTTAACAGCTAGTCTGCTGATCTTGCAACAAAACATGCAAACATAATAACCATTTTATTTCCTCACCCTGGCAAAATAGTTCAGATAAACACCAGAAAACATTTACATAAATATTACTCATACAAACAAGCTCAGCATGCTCACTGATAAAAACATATGTAAAAAGCGATTCTGCATGCTGTCCTGTTTTCCTATTTAGTGTGCAAAATTCAGTTGAGAAGAATAAAGAGTTTATTCAAAATAAAACTTGGAATTTAAATTTGTGAATTCAAGCAGACATCTCGTGAATCTCCAACTGAAGTTTCCCTTCAATAATGCAGGAGGACAATTTTACTGACAGATTTTCACCCACTAGACCTGCATCCCTCCTCAAGCCACTGGAAAGTTGCATTAAGGTCTTATTTTGACATCCAAATCCACAGGCACATAAAATCAGGGTTTGTTTCTGATTTCATAAATGAAATCCCATAGAAAGCAAGACAGATTTGAAGAGAGAAATAATAACTTTTTATCAGACCACATAATATAGAGAGTGACAAAAGGACACCTGCCCACTGCTCTGCCATAGGCCAAGCAGGGCTTGAATATGCAACCTCTCTGCTTCACCTCTATCTGCCCATCATGGCTGCAGTGCTACCTCTGCACTGTTCTGAAACACCAAGGGATTTTGTTAACTTGAACTGATTTACAGAACATTTGGGGATAGTAAAAAAAGTTGAGATGTCGAGATTCAACTTTTTTCAAAGAGAAATAATATTACAGCCTAAACAAAGCAAAGGGAAAAGTTCCAAAGCAATTCACCTGAAAAAGGTGAATTACACTGAGGATTTATGTCCATGTAATGAAGACAATTAATTGCTACGAGATCCATAAAACACATTAAATGAACAGGGATTTTTCCAATTCTACTTGCAAGATAAAATTTATTAACTATGTGTAATGGCTACTTAAAAATTTTTTCTTACATATTTATTAAATGTGCTTTTTCAGCAGAACAGAGCATTTTACTAACCAGATTCTACTAATCTAAAAAATGAGTAATTTAAGGAAAAAAAAACCCAAAAACACTCTGTATGTTATCTATAGATCCATCTAAAGTAATTGCTTACACAATAATATTACCATGACCACAATTGCATAAATGCTGCTAAAAGGGAATCTACTTACCTCACACAAGCAAACAGCATTCTGTTGCAAAGATGAATGAGTTCAGCTAACATTATTTGGACATATGTTGCCATTTCCAGCAGAGATATGGAGCAAATGTGGGTCCTGATGTCATTTAGTGTTACTGTAATTACTTCATTAAAAACCCTCTACTCGGGAGAGCAGGACACATGGAACAAACCAGCTTAGATCAGAGCAATAACCTCAAATGGACCCACATCCAAATTTTGTGCTTTGCCCTAAGAAGTTGTGGATGCTCCTCCCTGGAAGTGTTTAAGGCCAGGCTGGATGAGGCTTTGAGCAACCTGATCTAGTGGAAGATGTCCCTGCTGATGGCAGGGGGGTTGGAACTAGATGATCTTTAAGGTCCCTTCCAATCCTAACCATTCTATGATTCTATAGACTCAGCTGCTCAGCCAAAGCTATCTTCATGCCTCCAGCTGTGGGTATCAGATGCACCTTTTGCCCTTGTGATTACAAGCAAATCAGAGACAGATATTTACTGCTTAGAAATGACCTAGAATTGACTCTGTTCCTTATTCATCATCTGTAAAATGGGGATAAGTAGCACTTCTTTCTGACAAGGGTTTCATGGGAACAGATAAAAGTTGATGGTAGTCAATTATTCTAGTAAGTTCGCATGAGCCCCCAAGATGAGGGGAAAGGATAAAAAAGGGTCTCAGCTACTTGAATGAACAACAGCAATGCTGCCAACTCTTTAAACTTTAGCACAATCTTCTCAATCTGCAATGTTCTTCTTAAAAGATCAAGTTTCCATAAATATGTGAGCTTTCCTTAAATAAGAAGAAAGTTTTCAGACCTGACAGTCACAAAGTAAAATGTAAAAATACAACCAAAGTCCAACCTAGAGTTTAATGCCTAAATAATAGTTTCACATAAATCAATTGTATGGAAAAAGCAATTTGTCCTCTGAAACTGTGAGGTTCTGCAACATCCTGTACAACCTCTGCACTGGAGCAATACTCACGCTGCAGTCCGAGACATGAACCTTAGACTGAGAGTTGGACTGACACAGGTGGGAAGGAAGCAGGGATCTCATCTCACCACTATCTTGCCCAAGGCAGGGTCAGCACCACAGTCACACCAGAAACCAACCATGCTGGTGCAGATCCTCTCACACACTGGGGCACCCTGAGGTATCCAGCAAAACACACATGCTCATTGCAAGGAAGGTTTACACACTTTCATCTAAAAATCTCACACAGAAACCGAGAATAAACAAATTGCTGTGATTTCTATGTTATAAAAGTGCAAAATATTTCTCTGCAAGAGTCAAGAAGCCCTCTTCATTATGAAATACCTCTCCCACAGCTTTCCTCTTTAGGTATTATAATCACAAGAGCAACAGCTTGGAAATAAAAGTGAAGATAACAAAAGTGAAGAAGATAACAAAAGCATGAGCAATGTTTAACAACCTCCTCCTCTAGAAACCGGGTGCCACCGGAGCAGACAAACAGAGCAAGTGCTGCAGCAGTTTTAATGATGGGGACCTCTTCTCCCAGACAACAGTGTTGTTTTATTGAAACGCCTGTACAAATTAACAGCATATGCTGTGGCTGGAACAGACCTTTCTTGACCCTCCACATTTAAACGTTAAGCACCTAATTTAAGCTATTCCCACCAACCTTTTCTGCAGTCACTGGAGACAGGCAATCTCCAGATCAGCAGCGCTCTGCTGAAGCATGAGAGTTTGAGCCCACAGTTTCCAGAGGTAACACTACCAGTGCAACCATATCAAAAGCAGAAGAAGAATGAATACATACTCACCTGGATGCCTCATGTTTTCTTAGAGACTTTTAAGAAAGTATTTACTTTTTTTTCCCTCCCCTCCTCTCCACTAACACCAAGTACGGGTGTTATATTGCTGCTGTATTTTTCTCAACAAGGCTATACTGCTGGTTCAGTCGTATAAGAGAAGTCAATACCCATGTGCTAAATGAAAAAGGATAGCATCATCTGATACCATTCTACTGAGAACCGGGAACCAATACTTTAAGTTTTGTTTTTTTCTTATCAGCAAACTTTGCCTTCACAGAAATAACTTGGCCTAGATAAAAGAAGCCGTAGAATCAGAGGCTGTGTTACCCTAAATGCTTCTACAGCACAAACTTTGTCCACAATATATTCCTCAATCCTGCTGCTCAATTTCTTGTTAAAAGATATGTTACACTTTGCCTCGCTACAGTTACAGCATAGCCAAGGCAGCGTTTGTGTGGATACAAGAACGTCCACACGTGCAGAAATTGTAAGTGCTATACAACAAAGGGGCTTACATATGCTTATGCAAGAAATTGGTATTATTTCTGTCCTTGGCAAACAACAAGAATATACAAAGCACAAAGGAAAGCACAGGGCTGTATTACAAGTTGGCTACTTCAGTGGGGTTTTTTTGTTGTTGTTTTTTTTTTTTAATTTTATTTTTGTCTCTGACCCTCTGAACTGCAGACATTAGTGAATCACAGCAAGTGGAGCTTTCAAAATGTGGTTGCCTATCACCAAGCATACCTCACCAACAGCAAAACAAAACCATCAGCGAGCATTGTGTTCAGTAAAGCACTTGATATAAACACACACCCCCTCAAGCCCAAGACTTTAAAAACACTTCACTCTTGATGAACATTCTCCAAATTCAGGGAGAGCAAAGGTTATTTACGAAGGCAGTATGAGCGTGGCACACATACAGCAATAATCAGAACGGCTGCTAATTTTTCTGTTTTCCCCATATATAGATATTCAGAAACAAGCAAAAAGACAACAGCAGGGAGGAAATGACATACCTTACCAAACCTGAACGTTGGACACAACTCCTTTCAGAGCAACATTGGTGTGAAGGTAAGTTCCTCAGGCGACCACCAACCACAATTCCTTTCTGAGCTCCACAGAGGCTCCAGCTCCCCCTTGTCTGTGTCCCTGAGGAAGATGCAGTGTCCTCGAGTATTTCAGAGCCTCAGCTGCGAAAGATGCTGTTCAGAAAAAGGAGAGAGAGAGGAAGGTGTGGCATTAAATTCTAGGGTCAGTTGTTTGGCAGATTCAGAACAAAACACAAGACAACATTGGATAAGAATGAAATGTCAAGGCAGGACCAAGAGTCTGTGACAATCCATCATGAGTGGCACCTTTGGAGGGCAATCTTTGAATTCAAGAACTGTGGTGCAAAGCTATTCTTGCTTTACAGTATTTTAATAGTGTCCCTACACCAGAAAATGAATGCCAGCCTGGCTGCTTTTTATTCCAGTCTGATATCATAGTAAGTAATACACTTCTCCATAGGGAGTATTTTAATTCATTATGGCATTTCTGCAGAATAACAGGACTTTCATATTAAAAGCAGAGACATAGCCTCACTCTTACTACTCTGCACTGTTAAAATGTCTCTCATTCAAGGAATTCAAAACTCCTAAACAGGCAATCATGATAGGACCTTAGAGCTGATGGGAAGCAGTAACTGTCAGCCCAACACCCAGCAACAGGTTCCTGAAGTTCAGTCTCCAAAGCAGTTGTCAGAGACTGGTAAACAGCCCAAGGTTTTCTGGGAGGGTAGAGGCTCATCAACATTACATTTTCTAGCTCACTATCACTTCTGGACATGCTCGAAGGACCATTCGTCCCCCACCTGGACAACACAGCCAGTGAAGTAAGACCAGGCAGAGCAGCACAAAGTAGGTGAGGACTGAGCAAAGAGCAGGATCTGACCTCCCTGGATCAGACACACACACTGATGAAGGTTGTGTCCTTCAACCAAACTCAGTGATGTTTTTCTAACACTAACTGAACACAGCAGCTGTGAACATATTCTAACTTTGCCTAGAAAAGCAAAAAGAGCAAAGAAAAAAGAAAAAAAAAAGATATACAGACATATTTATTCCTTAGAGGTCTCCTCCACAGGAGAAAGCCTGTGGCAGCTTGAAATACCACAAAATCCCATTACATCTTCACAAAAAATCCTGAACCCATGAACAGGTTACAGCTATCTGGAAAACCCATTAGCTTTTGGGCTTGCAAGAGGGAAGATTTCGGTAATCAGCGTGTAAAACTGTCCGTACTGAAAGTCAGCATCATACTACTTTTTTCATATATAAATATATATATGATTTTTACCAAAAGTCCACATAGCAAGCATGATCACACGGATCAGAACAGCCAAATATATTAACTTTATTTAGTACTAATTACTTCACTGGACCTTGAATAACTGGTTTATGTTACATACAACACCTAAAGGCTCAGAAGTGGAACAGCTTGTGTGGTACCTACAACAGGAGTCAGGAAAGCAGAGCCCAGCACTACATTTCTTGATACACATTTTCAGACATTCTGTCTCTCTTGACCTCAAACACGGAGGACAAAAGTGGACCTTCACAGTTCCTGTCCTCTTCCAGGGTAACCATGAAAAATCAGACTGCCAACTGAAATAGCTGTTGAATGACTTACGGGTATAGAAATGGCTGATGCTGCAGTAGTTTGATCTGCAGGTAGCAGCAAGACCTAATTCTACTGCTTTTAAGGGATTTCTGTCTCTAGAGACCACAGTTACAATTACTTTTTCATTTTTGCTCATAAATTGTAACGCAAAACAGTCACAAAGAAAATCAGCTGTACATTTTTGTGCATTAACTATTGCATCAGCTGAGTTGAGAACTAGAAGTAACAATAACAGGACTAGATCATCATTGCAAGCTGAGTGCAGGAGCCTGGTCTCAGGTTGGAAACGATGTACTTTGAAATCTCCTATTTAGTACAGCTTGCCAATGCTCATCGGAAGCAAATTGCCCTGATAAGAAGTCGGCACGTTGCCTTAACAAGCTGCTATGCCTGCGCATAGAGTTTCTGTACTGTCTGAATTCTTGCACTGCTGGGTGGATCATAAATGACAGTACAGGCAGAAGCATGCAATTCCAGCTCTTGATGAAGACAAAAAAAAAAAAAGCTTCCCACACTCCTAACCCCTGCCATTATGGGAATGAGAGCACAGCAGCAGCAAGCTGGAAAATGTTGCTGCTGATCAGTTGCTTGATCCGGACTAGAAGTGTGGAGTACTACCAGCATCCAATAATGCAGGAGGAGGGGAAATAACAGGAGGTGTGGACATGGATGTGGAGGAAAAAACATCTTTAGTCATGACAAAATGCAACGACCATGCACTGTTGCCATCTCTCTGATACAAACACTTGTTATCGATATCCCTCACCCTCATGCTGCCACATCATGCAATGAAATCTGTGGCCAGGATTCCCATGAGCATCAAGGTACAGATGCTCCAGCCTGAATGCAATGTGCTGCCTTCCATGCTCTGATGACATGCATTGCACAAATATAGAGGGAGGGAGGCAGACCAGGGATCATTCCTAGTAAGCAATATAGTAGTTAAAAGGCTACTAAAAATAATGCAAGGAAACCTTCATGACCTATAATTTGTTCAGAACCTTCTATGGGGAAAAAGAGGGAAAAAAAAAAAAAAATTAAAAAAAAAAGGTATGTATATCAGTCCCTGCACAATTTTGCAGAAAAACCCGTTCACATTCAGTAAGCTGCTACTGCTTGGTGATCAGTGCCCTAGCAGGTTTCCCTCTCACAGTCAAGGAACCTGGAGAGCCCATCACACAGCTCCCAAAATGCTCCTCGGACCTCCTTGCCTTTGGGCAGCCCTAGTGAGGATCTGCCCTGTGGGCTGGAGAAGCCCAGGCTGCTGGTGGGCTGCAGAGCTACTGCCCAAGCCCAGAGCCCTGGGACAAGCTCATGGCTGCAGAGTGAGACAGACACCAGAATCCCTGATGAAAACACCCACAATTTCAGTCTGTAGCTACTGTAGGAGCTGGAGTTGCTCCTACCTGAAACAAAACCAGGTCTGAACTTACTGAAATGCCCCCAGAAGTGTGCTGGATGAGGCTTTGAGCAACCCTGTCTAGTGGAAGGTGTCCCTGCTCATGGCAGGTGGGTTGGAATGATCTTTAAGTTCTCTTCCAGCCCACGCCATTCTTTCATTCTATGATCTATGTACTAGAAACACCACAATTTCAGTTAATTTTGATTTTAAAATTCTGTGCTCCCCTCCATCTCCCTTGTTCAGATGTGTGGAGGTAACTTCCGACAAACTATGAATCACTTTCATTATCCCACCACTTCAGATTTTTACATTCAGTTTCTGGAGCCCTGGATTAAATATTCAGGTGCATTCCTAAATTAACATAGTTAAGTGGTATCAGATCAGTCTTCAAGTCACAAAAGCAGGCATATAGCGATTCCCATTAATCAGAAAAGGCAGACAAGACATTTTGCCAGTAAAAAGATAGTATTTTCCTTGAAGGAGTCTCAGTCCTTTACTGATAGAAATCATGAATTATACAAAATAACTATACACATTAGATGTAACAAATCAGATCAAATATTAAATTTGAAGACACCACTTCTACCTTGAGATGTTCCCAGACCACAAATCAATGAAAGTTGGGACAGTCTCTCACAGGAAGCCTTGCTATACCTTTGCCCTGTTCTCACACCTTTCTTTAGGCATCAGCTATTGGTCACCATCAGGGTGAGGACAGGAGCCAGATGGACCCTCATCTGACGCCGCATGGTCATCCTCGTATTTGGGTGCCAATACAGCTTAAGGTGCAGCTTGGGCCTTGTAGCTAGATATTACAATATTGGTGAGCATTTGGACAGAGCAAAAAGAGGTATCTAGAAGCTGAATTACATATTTGCAAACAAATATTACACTACCGTAGATATTCAAATTAGTATTAGTTTGTCTCATCAAAAATCAATTACAACCTACCTCACTGCAATTGAAGAAATTAGTTGGGCATAGAAAAGATTAAATATTTAAAGAGTCTAGTGACTTAAAAATAACTGAAACCATATCGCCTTGCTTACCTATAACATTTCTTTTATTTTTACTGCTAATATGACCATTAAGAAATCAAAATTCCCTATGTGTGCACATCCATGCAGACATGTATGACAGAGGCATATGTAACATGTTCCTATATAGTCTCATAACAAAAAAAGTAACTAAACTTGGGTAAACATGTTCGACTAATACAGAGGAGCTCTACTGGTAGAGTCAGAAGAAAGGCTGTGAAACAGGCAAGGAAAAACACATTTCTATTGCTAAGTATTTAACAAGGTCAACCTCCTCTGTAAGTGCAGGAGAAAAGATCCCACAGCAGACTCTGAACACCGCAGGGGATTATACCAATTCATTAGCAGGTATATCTTCTAATTACAGCCTTGGACATTAGTCCCCATACAGCTGAGCAGGCAACAGCTGCTGCGTTTTGCCACATCCTCGGGACTGAGCTCACTGTTTTCTACTGAGCTTCAGGACAGCGTGGCTTAACACAATCCCACCACGCTAGCTCCAGCCAAAAGCAAGGGTATTTGGTTTTCTCAAAGGATGCTCCCGACTCCTCACAGCTAAAAGCTGAAGAGGAGCCAGCTTCTATATCTTATGAGATTGGTTCCTCTGCTCCTGCTGTGTCAAAGAGCTGTAAGATCAACAACTCATCCTGTCAGCTCCATCTCTGGTAAAGATCTCACATTAATTTAGCGTAAAAGGTGACGCTGGTGAAGAAGAAAATAAAATGAGACTTTGAATCCCTCCTTCCAGAAGGCTAATGGTAAAAAATTGGTGGCAATGCAACTTTGGCACCTTTCCAACTACAACACTTAGAGCATTGCCCACAACTGTGTCCCAGACATACTTTGTCATTCATAATGGCTCAGTACAAAACATAAATAAAACAGAAGTCGCCAGCACTACTGGCACTCAGCTGTTTTGAGGCTTTTTTTTTTTTTTTTCCTTCTCTGCCAACAAAACAAACAGTGAAATAGCAGAACTGCAATTCAAGTGATAACGTCTGCGAGTGGGAAATCTGATGGAGGATGGTGGTGTGATTAAATTCCTCGGGAATTAAGTCAATTAAAGAATGCAGGCAATAAAATCATTAATACATTGACTGAG